AAACCAAACACCAGTGCTTGTTATAATTAAACACCAATGTATATCGGCCACATCTGACAAGTATTCAAAGGACCAACCTTCTTCCTACTCCATAACACCATCCTAAACTACCACTTATTTGAAAACCTATCTGGCACAACATGAATAAATCGAACATCCTTCCTACTTTAATTCACCATCAAATATCCTACTTGGGATCTTTTCCATAAGTACACAGTGTCTATGCCAACATTCCCAGGGGCTCATAGCCTTAATTTCCCTCGTAATTGGAAGTGTACTCATACCAAATTTATTCGTCCATAGCGGCAATTTCTCGACTAAAACCCGGGTACAGTAATTTGGGCATTGCCCATTCATTACACCATTCATCCAAGCTGTACCCAAAAACGTCAATGAAAAGGAATTTACATCATAGCAGTATGCTCGTATCTTCACCTTCCATGATAGATGTTTCTAATTCATGTGAAGATATTATCAGTGGAATTAACTTCAAGTCAAGCTTTAAATTGTTCACCTACTGCAATTATTCTAATGGTCAAAACCACTAGAGAAATTAAAAAAAAAAAAAAAACGTAGACCTGCCCGGATGCATCCACTGACTGATCATGAGGCACATGTGGTTTATAGTACTATGGCCAATATCTTTCTCCTGCTTGACTTTGCTGCCTGTTAATCTGGGCGGGTAAACAATCTGAGATCTCTGTCTGGAACAGTCCATGACAGGTATGGAAGAGGTGACCCAACAGTATATGAACAGGACGTGCCACCACAAAGGGAAGAAAAACAGCTTATAAACGATGTTCCAAATGACCAATGGAAAGAACATGTTGCTAACACATAACGAAAATAAAGCCTTGTAGCTGTCAGTCATGGGACAGAAACAGCACAATTGAAATTGCCATACGAGGGAAAAATTAATCAGGATGTAATTTTCAGGCTTAACATCACTACAAAGAAGAAATTAATTTCCTACTTGCATACTGTACTTCAAAAAAACAAACACTACAAAACAAAAATCTGTGGTTGACATAGTAATTACACAATACAATAAAGATCAAGGCCACAGTCATGTTTCTCACACTGGCCACGACGAGTGTTCATCAGCTGAGAAACTTTCACGAATGTAGACCGCCCACTGAAACCCAACCTGACACTCATTCATAAATCGGCTTGACACATTCGACTCACGTTACACTCCGTTACTCTGTCAACTCAAATACATGTACACTCGCTCAACTCACACAGTGACTTGTTCAACTCACATACACTCTCCACTTGTTTAACTCTAATGTATACTGTCTCAATTACCGGTACATTCAAACTGCTACTTACATTCAGTTTTATAAATTCAACTCATTCTTACACTCGACACATTCAGCCAATTGTACACTCGGCTTGACATTAAACTACTCCTACACATCGGCTTGACACATTCAACCAATTCGTACAATCAGTTTGACATTTATGTAACATATTCTTGCACTCAGCTTGACACATTGAACTTGGTTCTTATACTTGGCTTGTCATTAACTCCTCCTTACACTTGGCTTGACACATACCGGTACAAGTACAACCCATTCATACACTCGACTTGACATTCAACTCATTCTTACACTCGGTTTGACACATATGAGCTAGAGATACAGTAAATACTCACTACAGCAAATGTTACAAGACTTTATTCAAACATCCATGAATAAAGGGCATTGAAGGGATGGCGTAATATGGAGGAATTCGTAAATTTCGATCAATGTAATTTTGTCTTTCAAATGCATTATAGTGCGACGTGAGAGGATTCTTTTATTCTCTTTGAGTTATTTTTTTAACAGTTGACCACCATCTAAGGAAAGCAAAAAAAAAGAAGCAAATTTTTTAAATATTTTCTAAATCATATTTGCTTACGTACTGCTAGGTGGAGCAGTTTTCATTATTACTGTACCTGTATTCCTCTGTATCAAATGAGCCAACAAATGTGCGTGAGCATTTGAAAAGGAATGAAATGGTGCACGAGAATATTCACTAACCTCCAATACCAGGGATATATTGCACACAATCGACAATTTCCACAAATGTCATGATCACCACCGGAAAGCCATGTTGACACGCAGAATGATCCTGGTACAGTAATTTATTTTGTTCTTTATTGATCAAGCCCATCAGTTATACAGCGAGGGACTGCACGGGTACGTCACAAGAGTGAAAGTGATTTAACATCTTTTGATATACAGTACTCTTAGTGCTGATAAAAGACAGGTACTGATAGCCTACCAGAACGGCACATCCAACTACAGTACTGTATATCGAACATGATGACAAAGCCGGGGTCTATTGTTTTTTCATATTACCTACAGTATTATGACTTACCAATTATATACGGGGTAAACTTAAAAGTATTTTGTATTTCTGTTCTTTTCAATCCTAAGTGTGGATAGAACCAAATTTGATAACCATTTTCAGCCTTTTTGGGTTGGGTGTTGAAACAAACCGTGTACAGTATATTAGATCTTAACTGACCAAGTTTTATAACCTAATGGAGTCCGAGTATCATTATTCCCTAAACTTTTCCTCTCATACAAAGCATATTATTATACATCTGAATAGAGGATAACTTTTTATATATGTCGAAAGAACAAAAATTTAATATAAGTAAAAATGAAAACCAGGAAGTGTAAACAGTACATGTATAATTATATAGGGGTATATACGGGTATATATTTCTGGAGGAGTTTAGTTGAGGGTCTTGATTGATTTTTTTACTAATTTCCTGATAGGCAAACAGATCATCCCACAACACATTCACGACTGAAACCCATGTCAACACCCCTCACATACACACACACACCTGAAAGCCAGATAGTTCTCCCTCTAACCTAAACATGTTGAGTATCTCTTGAAAAATTAATACAGTAGTCAAAAAAAGACAAGTTACTGTAATTGGTGTAAATTTACAATAAAAAAAAGACTCATGAAACACAAAAGACATGACACACATACCGGTACAATATATTTGAGTGCCCGGATTACGAAACTGCATAATTATAATCTAGTTAATGAAATAAATGCACCAATATAAAAACCTATGTACTGAAATTTATATACCCAAACATGTATCCTGAAGTGTACACATTAGTCTTATGCAGTTATATGTTAATGCATGTTACAGTACATTGCTTACATACGTGCAGTACTTGAAATACAGAAGTTATGTATTATGAAACAACACTTAACTCAGAGATACTCGTGTAACATTATTTTTCTCACATACCGTACACTTAGTAAACACAATAGATGATGTCAACTTCTTGTACAAGTGAAACACACACACAAACTAACGTATGCGTCACCAGCCTAGTCGTCTTCTCTCAACTCCACCTAACAACATCAGCTAGAGAAGGTACAGAAAAGGGCCTGCAGAATCATGCTCGGCGCAGAATACTCCGGCTACACCAACACACTCTCCACCCTGGAAATGCCATCCCTCAGTGACCTCCACCACCAAGCACTGGAAAAGTTTGGCAGTGGACTTCTGCACCACCCTCGTCATCGCCACCTCCTGCAGCCCCCCACCCAACTCGCACAGTCCGCCACTACAACAAAATTCAGCCCATAAGAGCCCGCACCGATAGATATAAGAACAGCACCATCCCATCTATTGTTAAAATAATAAACAACTCTTGATTTATGTACTGTACAGCCCTGTAAATGTATTCAATTCACATTATGTATATCATTATGTCTAAATCAAATGTAAGTCTGTATATTTTCAGCCACTGGCTGCAACTCTATTAATAAACCGTTTATTATTATTATTATTATTATTATTATTATTATTATTATTATTGCACACACACACACATATACAGTAATCGTTAACACAGATATATGAAAAGTATGAGTAAACATACCAGTTCACATATTTCAAACCAAAATGTAAAAAACACAAATGTACCAAAATTACCTAAAAAAAAGGTCTACCCAATTAGACACTGACCCTACAGTCAATTATCACCATGCACTTACAGTACATAAAACAATACCTAATGCATATATTCTGCCACTTCAGCAATTAAAACAATCACACGTCAAAGACACAGTCATTCCCGGTTAAGTTGTCAAAACCTAAAAAAATAATGTGGGTTTCAAACCAGATCTTGAACAATAATAATCACAGGATAGCTGTCACTAAGAGCCGGCAAATACTGTATATTGACATGAAGAAAAACAGCTAAAAAAATAAATTTCGATTTAATCTTAATACATAATATGAATCAATGTGATTTACTACATAAGCATCAAGATCTCCTAAAATTGCCCTAATACTGAGCCTGGATCATTAATGGCAGGCGACCTATATCCCCCATGGGTGTAGTCAAGCTACCATGCAACGAGTGGTTGAGAACTACAGAATGACCACCACGCCCACCTGCGTCAACTATCCACTTCTATCCCTCATCTTTAACTACCCCCGCCAGCCTAACCACCCAAAAAATTATCCCAAAGGAATTCCGAAACGCCGTCAACGTGAAGTCGTTCGGGTTAATTTACTATTATCAATTGTTACTACTTTAACCTCAGTAAGAACTACTGATATGATATACGATTTACTAGGTTATATTTTTTTTATATCCGCAAAACTGCTACGGGTGTGACGGTCACCCACAACTGTGTAGATTCTCTAACGACATCATTAGTATCTATTTTCGCGCCGTTGCGGCTGACAGATCAACAGCTGGAGCTAGCAGACGAATTTTCGATAGGAATGCCAAGCAGACGACAAAGTCTCTAACACTTGTTATGTTCTCCATTTTGCATGAATGCATACATATACGTATATAATTCATCGTGCTGTAATAAGTGCGTCATCCTGGGGCACTGTTCCCGGCTGCATCACTCGCCCAATCGAAATACAACATGTTAAGTATGCGAGCTGACGTTTTGCCGCCATTGGTAGTCAGAAGCCCAATTCTTGTCTATCCATACAGAATGCTATTTGTACTTACTTTTGATGACCCTATCCGTCGTAGACACCTTGCTGGTGTTGTTGGCGTTAGTACTCATTTTTACACTAATAAATAATCCTCTTAGTCACCCACATACAGAGATGGCTTGGATTCAAGCCGATCGTCACTACACTGAACTGAACTTGCACCAAAATGGCGAAAACAGCTCTATCTCTGAGGGGGAGGTGCGCATGCGCCGAGCGGGCCAATCAATGCAGGTATCTAGTCACGTGACGCACACAGGCTCTGCCCATGCGCGCTAAAATCAAATAGTAACCAATCTTTAAAAGGCATAGGTGTTGCACTAGTTTGTATAGGATGCTGCATATGTATTAGTGTTGAAATAAAAATATCTATATTTCACTTCCCTTCAGTCCCTGGTGTGAAATGCCGAGTTCTCGATATCCTACTTACCTTAATAGATGACGTACTGTATTACTGTCTTTAATGTATTTAATATAATAAATTCCACTCATGTTAAAATTTCATAAATTGTACATGGTTATGAACAAAAATTATTTTTGATTGAAACAATTAATCTCTGCCAATAAATTTGTTAAACTAAAATCTCTAGGAGAGTTCCCCTTAAATTTTGATCCATGGTAATGTTGTTTCACAGATTTTCTACTCCAATAATTTATATCTAAAATTGGATGTAAAATTATCAACTAGAGCAAATACTGAATAAGATTGATTTTTCTGAAAGGAAACGCACAACTTAATCGGTTAGTTTAGACAAAGCGACGTAAACAAACATACACATGAGCCAAACAAACTGTGTTGTTTGTCAGTGTGTCTTTAATATATGTCTTCAGTGTTATCATTTGTATTAAAGATTTTAACCAGTGTCATATTTATCAGAAATATTAATTTTATTACAACTTATAAATGTCGTTCGAGATACGCAGCATACTGCGTCAAAATTCACAGTGAAGTTAAAGATACAGTATATACGTATTATGTTGGGCTGGAAGGACTGAGGCCTCAGTAAAGACAAAAGAAAATGATTCTCAGAATATCGTCTTGCCTCCGAGCTAGGTAAGAATGCTGTTGTTAGTATAAAATAGGTGAAATGGTTAAACAGTTCAGGTAACACAGTTAATGGGAGTCTTCACACTGTGCACTATGAACAATGTACACCACCCCATGTTATGTCATGAACAATATACACCTCCTCTATGCTATGTCCTTAACAAAGCACTTGCTCCTGTCTGTGTGCTGATATCACCCGGACAAGTATGCAAGAAAACAAAGAAATTAGGGTATTATTTTACTTGTTGCCACAAAACGAATCTCGCAAATTTTATAGTTGCAATCAGTAATTTTGACAATTCTAAGACACTTCTTCAATGACTTTTGTGGCCCAAATTACGTATAAGTGAGATATTTAACACATTATGTATGGTGGTACACACCCAGAACATCGAACAACTTGGAGCCGCCTCGGTTAGGTTAGATTTAAACTTTTCCGGTAATTTTCACTTTTTGCCACTATATGAAATGATGGTCGAAAGTATGTTTTTCCAATGGTTTTTGGTGTGTAATGAACGAATTTGACCTTCTTCTCTGGTGCAGATCAATAGATTCTGAGATACGCCACCCCTCCCATCTCAGAATCTAGAGATTTGCTATAAAAATCAAAGTAAAAAGTGTTTAAAACTCATCAAAAACCATTGGTAAAGCAGTTTGGGGCTTATATTGATGACTAACCTGCCAAAACGTTCTTTGTTCTGATGTCTTTATTCTTACCATATTTTAATCAGTAAGTTCTGATATGATGTTAATTTGGGGGAAATTGCTGCTTTTGGTAGATAATTAAGCGATTAGGCATGCACCACTTTATCTTCCTCGGCGGTGATGCGGCAGTACGCAGCCAATCATCTCCAATTAACGCCATTTGCCAATGTATGTTTATGAGCAACACGGACTGGGCGACGGCTCTCACGTCTACAAAAAACGTAAAATTACACCATATCATAATAAGTTCTTTCTGTTTAATATGCCGGAGGTCCGAGCCCCATGGCTAGGATGTTAGGTAAGGTTGGGTAGGTTTCTTAATTTTATATTGGTGAGGTCTTCTAACAACGCTTTTGCTGCTTGTTTTTCTTATCAACAAAGGTTAGGTTAGGTTTAATTTAGAAATAACCACTTTTTAACACATTTGCTAAAACTACGACAGTGTCCACTATAAAACACAGTAATTGCAGCGTTTTTAAATTAATTTTCTTTGAAAAATCAGTGGCTGGTCAGTTGTTAATAATTACCGGTTAAATTAGGTTTTGTTAATGTTAGGTTAGGTTAGATTAAGTTTGGTCAGTGTTAGGTTATATTAAGTTTCATTGTGTTGGGTTAGATTACTTTTGGTAAGTGTTGTGTGAGGTTAAGTTCAGTTAGTGTTCGGTTTGGTTAGATAACGTTTCTGTAGTGTTAGGTTAGGCTAGATTAAGTTTAGTTAGTGTTAGGTTAGGTTAGATTAAGTTTAGTTAGTGTTAAGTTAGGTTAGATTAAGTTTAGTTAGTGTTAGGTTAGGTTAGATTAAGTTTAGTTAGTGTTTGGTTAGGTTAGTGTAACTGAGTTTAATTTAGAAACAAAAAACAATCAGAACTCACAAACCTAAATTCCATAAAAAACGTAAAGTTGGGTTGGAAATGAATTGTTGCTTTTCGTGAATGGACATCAGGAAATTTTGAGTCTGAGATTTTGTTCAGTGTTCTCATGAATGATATAGGGATATACATGCAAAATATAGAAAAAAATACAATCGCAACTGATAAGAATCTTGGGTAATAATTATATTCATTCAGCAAAACTGTCATACTGGTTTACAATTGGATAGCTAAGCGTGTTTATTTACAGTGTCATTATACAGTTCAGCATGGATATACACAATGTAGGTACAGTATATGGTGCATGTAGGTAGTAGAAGTATACAGTTTCCTTTGTGCCGAGACAGTAATGGTAAACAACAATGGTAAACAGTAAGGCATCTTGACCTAGGATAGCCGACGAAGCTGTCAGATTATTTTCATATGATATATACACAAAAAGAATGACAAGAAATTTTGAAAGAATAATTATGATAGGAAATGAAAGTGCTTACAATAAAAAAATGGCATAAATAAACGACAATTTCAGAGCATATAGAGAACCGATCAAATTCTAGTGGAAGAAGCAGCAGTGTTTATTATGTGACCTGCCACCCTGCCCAAAACAGCCTGTCTATTCTCGTCAAAGTCTCTCCAAGGACTGGTAATTAACCGCTGCCTTTTATATATCAGTTATCCTATGATAATGTCACAAAAAACTGGAAACTGCAACATGAGAAAATGGGAAATGGTGTAATTAAAATGAGTTATTGTAATTTTATTTAATGGAAAATACCCCCTGTATATACTATATCCCTAAATAATTCCTGATAATTTTTGGATGGAACATAAATTTAAAATACTGACTATACTGTACATAGAGTATATTAAAGTGTAAATTTAAAAATATCCTTAACTATGGAGTGAGCAACCAACAGCAGAGACCAGAATGGAAGAATGAATTAAAACCATGTCCCCAGACAAATGCAAAATCTTAGAAGATTGGTCAAAATATGCTGAAAACATTCAGAGTGAAGGACTGTGGCTGCCAACCTTCAGATATGAGGATGATACAGTACTTTGATTGGTTGACTGTAGTTTGATAAAGAACGATTCTCAAATTGTCAAGGTTTTCAGGAACCTTATACATATTCTTATTTATTGAGGGTCCAGTACATCATCGTGAGATTAAATTGGTTCATCTTATCTTGTATAAGCCAAAGTACCGTATACTGTAATGTATCGGTCAAGACACTATTGTAAACCAGGGACTTAATGTATTTATATTAGAATTGTTTGTTGATAATGTTATTGATTGCTCTTACTTTGTTTTAAATTTACTACATTTCCTGGGTTTATATATTCTGATGTTTATGTTCTTTATTTTTGACAAGACTGGCTCCACTTTAAAACTTTTTCTCATCTTTCAGAGTCACAAGAAATCGTTTCATTGTGATACTCATAACATGTGTGGTGTTAATGAATGAGTGGATCTCATGTGCTTTCACAGCCTCTAACTGGCCAGTCATTACGAATGATAGTGAAGACAGTGTCCGAATATTAATAGCAGCAGATCCTCAGATTCTGAGTGTTACTTCAGAGCCTCACTTCCCATTTAGCATAATCACAACTTGGGATGCTAACCGGTAAATAAAATACAGTGTACTTAGTTTTAATACAAAATACCTTGATTATACATGTTTTCTTCTCTATATTACATTGAAATATAGGTAATGTACTGAACTTAAGTTATAATGTTTGTTCTTTTGAAGTAAAAATTACAGTGCAGGTACATTACTTGTGAAATTGGTGTATTGTATATCAATTATGTTATCTTGAAACTAACAATACCATATTTCTCTATTGTTTTGATGTATCTTGTTAATTTGATCTATTTTTCAGATTTATTAGTCGTGGATTTCACCTGGCATTGTGGAGAACAAAGCCTGAAGTTGTTGTGTTCTTAGGTGACCTTTTAAATGATGGAAGCATTGCTGGTGATGATAACTTTTATTCGTTAGTTCACAGCTTCAAAAATCTGATGGATATTCCGAATTATGTTAAGGTAATAATCTCCTTTAACTACCTTGCATGCTTTATGCTATCATTACACAGCAGTCTGGTCAATTTTTCACCGAGTTGATTACTCGCACAACTCCATGTGTGGACATTTATTTTGGCTGGCCGGCTTTTGTCGATGCTATAATTGTAAATGTTTGAAAGCTCTGATTCACGAGGAAAGAAAGGATACATAATTAGTATCAACTAAAAAATAAGTTAAATTGCAGCTTATCTTTGTGGAGACATTTTTTCAATATGTGCATTTACATATTCATGAGAATATGAGAAGCTCACTGTATGAAAAAATTAGAAGCATTGATTTACAGTTGTTGCAAGAAATGAATACTGGTAGACTGAATAAAAAAGATTAACTTTGTCTGAATTTAAAAACAATTCATTGAGCAGATATTGTTTCTGTACAATATATGATGCATCGTTGAAAATAGTGAGGACAATTATTTTCTATTAACAGCTAATGATAAATTTACCTCCTGAATAGTTCCTGCCAGCTGTATGATAACAATATTGTGATATTATCTTGGTTTCTTTCCTTAAATTATCATTACAGTAAACCCTTGTTATTCGTGGGGGTTAGGTTCCGAGGAATGGCGCGAATAGGCAAAACCGCGAATACCTGGTAGCAACTTATACTACCTTAGTGCATTACTGTATACCTATACCAAACAACCAACCAGCCTCAGCAGCACTCATCCCTTCTTTTAACTTATCTAATAATTAAACTTTCTTTGTCAGGGTCATCACACTGACTTCTGCCTTTAACATTTCACTCCACTAGCATCACTAGCACCGACACTAGGCAGTCTCTTAGGGGCCATTTCACACACAAACACTAAAGTTTTGAGAGTACAGTACAACACGAGATGCTGCACCACAGACAATGGTTGAGCGAGAATAGAGGGAGAGGAGACACTGCGGGCGCATGAGGTGACTCATTGTGTTGCAGGAAAAGGCTCGCAAGCTAGCCGCCATCTGCTTACCGCGAATCGTCAAAATCACGAAGGGTCTACCGTACTGTATACACAGGGATGGATCCAGGCATATCAAAAGGGTGGGGGAACATGACGAGCACAGCGAGCCCACCCAGCTGGGGGTGCTGTAAGCTTCTCTCTTCCCCCCCCTCGAATTTATTTTTTAATCGGAGGAATATCGTAGGCATTTTGAGGTCGTTTTGAAGCCATGTGCACTTGATATTAGGAGATATTCTTAGGTCAATACTGTAGTAATTAATTTCTACTATACAAAAATGCCTGAGCACAATATGTACTACATTTGAAGAAAAGTATTGGAATTTTCTGGTGAAAAAGAGGGGGTCTGGACCCCAGGAACCCCCCCCCCCCTCACTGTATCTGCCCCTGATACACTTGCATACAGTACTGTACTTGAGGAGTAATTATAGATGAGAAATTAAATTACAGTGAACCCTCACTTTACGCGGTCAATTGAACCCACGGCGGCCCGCGTAAAGTGAACAACATAACATATGGGATTAATTGAAATAGAGACTGGGCCGACCCCCAAACTCCACTTTTTCAGACACAATACCTACGTTGTAGTAAAATTAACTTCTTGTTTTTGTGATGGCATGCACACACAATTAATAATTAAGAGAAATATCAATAATATTAGGTTTTTTAACACTTACGTTAGTAGAAAAGATGGCTGGGCACACAGGGATGGGGGGTTGGTTCCGAGACAGAGGGCAGATTATTGGCCCTCACCTGTATCACTTGTATCAATTGTATCACTATCCACCACAGAGGCTTGCAGGGCCTCTTTGTCAAACCCCTCAAAGTCCATATAAGTCCATATCCTCACTATCATTATCACTGACTTGGGCCGGCTGTGGTGGGTGGCGGGTGAAGAACTCGGTAATATTTTGATGACTGGGCGACCTTGTGTGTACCCTGCTCGCGCCACTCTCCGCGTAAAAGGGTACACACACGGCGAAAAGTGAGCATTCCATGTTTGGCAGGGTACCGCGTAAACGTGGAAATGCGTAAAGTGGGACCGCGTAAAGCGAGGGTTGACTGTATTGCTTAGAGGTAGTAGAAGTATGGTTCTTGGGACTGTGAAGGAGATTATAGTATTTTCATCTTCTCTTCAAAAACTAAACTGAACAGTAGCATTTCTTTTCATCTTGATAACATAAGATGCAGCAGTGTCTATTTTTCTTTCCTTTGTTGTTTTGCTCATTGTACTGTAGGATATAATAAAATATTCAGTCAACACACAATGCTCTATAATGTACTGTACACTATAAACACTTCTCATCAAGTGATGAATGTACAATATAGCCCATTTATTGCAATTTAATTCTTCTGTTCTTACACTGTGCTGTAACAGAGTTTTTTGACTGTGCAGTAACTAAAAATGGGAGTACTTGTACTACAGTATATAATTTAGGGTGCCACACTACAGCATATTGAAAGCGTAATATCGAATTGCATTACAGTATATTGAGGGTTTACTGTACAGTCCTATGCATTACTGCATTGGGAGTCTACTTTGTTAAAAAGAGAATTAAGAATAGATACTATATAAGAGTTTATCTTTTTATTGATCTAGTTTGGACATGTAAATATTACATAGTACTTCTGTTTCCATAGCATGTTATATATGTTCCTGGAGACAACGACATTGGTGGAGAGGGAATTGACCGGGTCACACCACACAAAGTTCAGAGATTCTTCTCATTCTTCAATCAATCAAATACTTTGCAATATAAATTTGTCGACTTCATCCAAGTAAGTACAGTATAGTACTGTAATTGAAATTTCACATACTGTATTTATTCAACATTAAATAATGAGATTTGTGATCAGAATATGTTTAGCATAGTCCAGATGTTTGTGTTTGTCTGTAGACTTCAGTCTTATATTTGATAGAGAAATTTTTTGAAAGTTGTTGGGAATATTCTTTTGGGTAATGCAGTAAAATCTCTTAAATTCACAGCAATTGAACAGTTGGTGTGCTCTGCTAGTAATTATATAATCAGTAATTGTGGTTTCTTGTAAGGGATCAGTTTTAGACCTCTTGAAATTAGTAATGATTACAATTAACCCTCAACTTACACAAATTATACTTCCATGAATTCACCTTACTGCCATATAATATTGAACAGTGAACCAAGAAAATTGCCTCAACTTACGTGGTTTTTCTCAGCTAATGGAACCACCAACGCAGTGTGTGGAGTGAGTCTCATGCAGCATAGGATGAGTGTATTGTGCACCTGCAGCTTCATATTCTGTTATGATGGCCTGAGACAGAATAACTTGCTTTTAATCTCACCTCTTTATTATTTACTTCTGGTGTTTTTACAGGTTCGTGTGATGGATGACAACAATGTCATAACCCCAGTCCTGCCACAAGAGGATGACAGAGTACGCATTCTTCTTTCTCACATACCTCTACTACCCATAACCAGGACAAAAATAAAGGAGGTATGTGACATTTTATTCATGATCAGGCTTTATTAATAGGTTAATGTCTACTTAAGAATAGAGCTATTGTGGTTTTATGTTTCTTCAGAGATAATGCATGTAATGTAGTGCATTAAAACTGGCATTTATTAAGGGAAGGGTCTTTTAACTTTGAGGCTTTCTAGAATGACAACCTTCTTCAGATTCTATTAGAACAACAACTGCCAGTTAGTGAAAAAATTATCTTACCTCTCAATTTTTTTGAGTATAGTTTACTAGCATTAGAGTCATGACTAGATATTAGAAAACTTTATGGTGACTAGGGATGGACTGGCTGCTGGTGTGTGTGTGTGTAGGTGAACCAGAGGGAGATCTTGAGGCCATGTTGTGGGGGTAAAAACAATGATGAAACACTCCTGGCAAGATGGTTAAAAACACAGGGCAGCAAATGAGGGAGATTCTTGGTTACTCTTGATTTGAGCCTTCCTGTGCTGTAGCAGAAAAAGGTTTATAAGAGGAGAAACGGATGATTTTGGTAAAATAGCAAAGGAAAGATTGAGTGTAGTTACTCAGGAACAAGGAATACCGGGTAAATGAGACTGCTTCTACCCCTCCCCCAGTTTTACTACCTTGCTGAATATCATGAAAAGAGAAGATTTGTCAGTGATACTATGAATGAATGAATGCATGAACCTATTCATTGTAGACAAACATTAATACTGAATACAAAACCATTGATGAAATTACAGCTACAGTAAGCCAGAGGTCAACTTTGTAGGCGCCGCCATACACATTTAATTACAATTTTGTTTACGTAATCTTGGCGAGGATAGTGCCTCTATTATTCCAAATTGTGTTAGTTTTACTGTATAGTACGTACTTGAAATTAAGCTGGATACAAGGAAATTGAGAACAATATACAGTACTGTATAAGGCTTGGTTAATGTTTTCTTGGTAAAACTACTACAAGATTACATTATTTTTGAATGAGTAGGTACAGTAGTTGTAAAATACCTGTAATTTAAAAAAAAATTATTGCCTTTATTGCTTAATAATAAATTTTAACTTTTAATTATTTATTCAGTACTCAAATATCTACCGTAATCAGCATCTTGGTTGGGTGTATGTATGATCTATTAAGGCCATGAGTAAAGCTATAGATGTTAATAGCAAATTCTTAATTGGGATGTTTAGGGTGTTACTAACCTATATAATTTTTGTAGTACATTGCAGCAGTTTTCGGGTGGGGGCATATATCGTATATGATCTTTTGTATTCTTTCGTGACTTACCCCTCTTTCTTATCAATTATTTTTTTTTAGCATAAGCTTCAGTAGTTGAGTAAGCAATTAAATACTATATTCATAAATTTTTAGCATGTCCTGTACCCTTGTTTGAGTGATATAATTACATCTTAGAATCTTGAAAGTGCTGTGAAGACCAGTTGCCAGGATGTTGAGTGCAGAGTGGCAGAGAAGAATGCACTTCAGTGATCCAGCTAAATGAAAAAACCTCAAGAGAAGAAACAAGATATTCAAGGAGAATATTATATTTGTTGTCTTGTTTTAGATGAAGGAAAGGCTATATTGATACATGTAGATAGGTAGAGGAAGCCAGTTGCTCCCATGCAGGGGCACTCGACACATCTTCCTCTCCCATCTTGCTATTACTAGGAAGGTATTTAATTCTCTTTATTCTTTTCAGTCTTGAAATTCTCTTTAGCAAGCAAGTGCATCTTGGATCATTCTGTCAACTTTGGCATAACGCTCATAATTTTGATCCATGCTATCAAACATTTGCATTCCTTTATTAATTGTAGCAAATGCCTCTGCCATTTGTTTCACTGAAAACTTTTTGGGGGGTACAGGTTCTTCTTCTACATTTTGTCTCTCTTCTTCCTCTACAATTTTCTGTGCATCTAGTTCAATAAGATCCTAATTACTGAGCTCTTCTGCTACATTTTCAACCAACTGTGCAACATCTTCATTATCAATTTCAAACTCAAGCTGTTTACCTTACTCCACTATCTTGTTACTAATACCCGAAATAACTTCAGTTTCATTAAATCCTCTAAAAGTGTTCACATATCTTTTCAGGACTTTCTTCCATATATGTTCATGCACTGTTTTGTAACCTGATCCCATGCTGTACTAATGTTCTTTATACATGGCAAAATGTTGTACTCCTTCCAAAACTGTCTGAGCGTTTTCTCACCTTCAGTAGCAGCAACAGCCTGAGCGAAGGTCGTGCGTAAATAATACGCTTTAAAGGCAGCAATAGCACTTGATCCGTGGGTTGGATGACAGAGGTAGTGTTAGGTGGAATGTACACTACCTTAACATCAGGGTGCATGTCGTCCAGGTGTGGTGGGTGTCCCGGAGCATTTTCCAAAATCAGCAAAATCTTGAATGGAATCCGTTGTTGCAGACAATACTCCTTGGCTCGTGGAATGAAACAAGTCATGAACCAATCCTCAAACAGTACTTGGGTCATCCAGGCTTTCTTATTACTGCGATAAAACACTGGCAGTGTGTGCTTGCTGACATGTTTAAAAGCCCTGGGGTTCTCTGAATGATAGATCATGAAGGGCTTTAGCTTGAAACCAGCAACATTCCCCCCCAACAGAAGTGTAATTCTGTCCTTGAATGCCTTGAATCCTGGCATTGTTTTCGCCTCTTTGTGGATGTATGTCTGCTCAGGCATGCGCTTCCACAATAATCCAGTCTCATCCACATTGAATATTTGCTCAGGCAAATAATTCCCTTCCACAATCACTTCATCTAACTCCTCCTTAAACGCTTCGGCAGCACCAACATCAGCACTAGCTGCCTCTCCACTCACTTTAACTTTGTGTAGACTGTAGCGTTTTTTAAATCTATCAAACCACCCTTGACTTCCTGTAAAAGTTTGATCACATTCATCTCCTGCCTGCTCCTTCATGCTTTGGAACAGGCTTCTTGCTTTAGCCTGTAAGGTTAGAAGGCTTAAGGGTACACGCTTCTGTATTTGGTCTTCTATCCATACCACCAATAATTTTTCCATATCGTGAATAGGACCTTGTCTATTCTTCGAAATTATCATTCCCTTTATAGGTGTTGTTCCTTTCACTACATCACGAATACGTTCCTTGTCCTTCAGAATGGTGGATATGGTCGAGTGCGAGAAACCTAGGTCGCGTGAGATTGTTGCCACTGTTTTCCCATTCTCATGCTGCATTATTATCTTCATTTTCATCTCAAAAGTAATTGCCTGTCTCCTTTTCTTTGGAGCACCACCAGCACTCTCACTTGTACGCTTTCTAGTCATTATAAAGTCAATTAAATACGATAATAACGAAAGTTTACAGCGCGATCACTAGGATACGATAGCCAAACACCAACTAAGCGCTCCACTGAGTGGAAGCTGTACCCACGCGGTGACCCGAGCCAGCCACGCTCTCGCCTGGATCGAAACGTTTTGGTATAGAAAATGCGCACGTCATTTGAAAATATTTTTGGTCACGACTGCAGTGGTCGTATGTCACGACGGTCGAAAGGTCAGAGCAGGTCGTAAGTACCGGTGGACGTAAGTCCAAGCAGTCGTAAGTCGGGGACTACCTGTATATGCGAAATGAACAATGCAATTCATTAATAATACGTAAAATATTATAACACACAAGAAGAGAGGAGACAGCATTGTTTTCAAGTGTTTTCTAACACCCGTGACGAATGACAATGGTTCTACATAAGAAACTGAAGAAAATAAGACCCTGGTTGTAGCTGTAGTAAAATTAATGCAAAAAAATGAATATGTATGTTTTACGTGATGTTATTTAATGTTAATAAATGGAACAATAGAAGTAGCTAACCATTAATGGTAAAGAAAAAACAAAATAGAATGGGAACACCATCGTATGTAAGTGCGTACATGTGAAAACATCATCATTTGTCTAAATAAGAATATGAAAGCAACACTTATTACTGTTCATATATGTTTTAAATAATACTTACTAATGTAAAACAAAAATTCTACTCACAAATGGTGGTAAAGTCTAAAACATAAGGACACCCAATGGCTATTGTGCGAGTTTTTACTCAGATGACGAAGTTATCAGGTTCAAATCTGGCTGAAGCTTTCCATAAAGATATCATAGCTGTTGCTGAAACTATTACTGAACCTGAAGTTGTTGTTGAAGCTACTTATGATGCTGAATTTGATGATGTAGCTGAAGTTGGTGGTTTAGGCCTTCGAATAATAAAGCTGTCGAAAGAACCTTTCACAGCCGCTTTCTTTTCTCATTATACAGTACAGCACATCTTTATTATGTAGAGGTCATATGCATTTTTCACGTCCCTGTTTATTTAATGCTTCGTTCTGTTAATGGATCCACTTCAGAAAATATGTTCATTGCTTGCTCCATATAATATCCACAGACCTCTCACCTTTTTCATATCGTTTTAACACATCTAGCTTCTCGGCTAATCTTATACACGTTCTTTTACCTTCTGAACCAGCACTACCATCACTTGCTCTCTTACTCATGTTGAATAGGGAAGCAAAAACTGCCTCAAGAAACCTGAGAATGTTTTTGTTCTTTTCCTATTTAGATGCGTGAAAACTAAGGTTCCTGCCAGCTGCGACTGTTTATGCTGGCGTCACCACTCACAAGCCCAGCAGCCTCCGTGCGCAAGGCTTTTTTTTTTTTTTTTATAATACATATTGGGATTTAGTTATTATTTGTATGAAAATGTAATTTTACTTTATTTGTATAATATTTTGTCATAAATACGAAGAAAATAATGGTGTAAATTGAATTGGGTCCTAAATTAACCAGGGGCGTAAATATGAATCGTCATTAGTAGAACTGTCGTTATCGGAGGCTTTCCTGTACTGTACTTGTTTATATAAGCTGCATTTATGCAAATCCTATTTTCTGTCTCTTGGACTATTTACTGTGACTTATGAACAACTCCAATTTCTTAATTTTCATGCATCATCCTGAACTTATACACTTATATTCTTAAATGTAGGAACTTGCCTAGTTTGAGTAGAATAAAAGGATTGTTTAACCCTTTAAAAAACAACGCTCAACAAACAATGAAGGGTACCCAAGTTTTTGTGCAATGGACTGAATGTGTTGCAGTTCTTCTTCAATAGATTCAGAGTCACAAATACGCAGTGATGTACATTGACGCCGTTAATTTAACGCCGTCAATGGATGGCGGCAATTTTTTGTTAACACTGACGCCATCAATTTTTGGGGCAGATGACGCTACAAGTGACGTAGTCAACTTTTCACCCGAGTGGAGCGTCATTCTGTTAGTCAACTTCTAAAATTTTCTATTTTTCCAAGTTCAATTTTCAATTATCTTGTTATAAAGACAAACGGGAAAAATTTTGTCATGCCCTCCGCCCGCATAGCTTTCTACAGATTTAAATTTTTAAGTCGGAAAAGGGCCACCAACCAGCTGTCTAGGTTGGTGGAGAAGTCCGTGCACGTGACTGAGAGCAGCAGCAGCAGTGAGGGAGACGACAAAGACCATGACGTGGAGGACGAATTGTTCCAGGCCCTGTATGAGACCCCCCGCAGGAATGAAAAAGACAGTGACCTTTTCAAGCGTTTCCTGGAGGAGAAACCTTTGAAAAAACTTTCGACAAGGACACCTTCCCCAACAAGGCCATGAGGGAGTTTTCCATCAAATACAACACCCCCATCCCCTCTAGTGCTCCCATGAAGCGCATGTTCTCCATGGGTAAGGACGTCTTGAGGCCCAAGCACAGCAGAATTAGCGACAAGCATTTTGAGATGCTAGTATTCTTGCGGGGGAACAAATGAAAAATTAAAATGATATACTGTAATATAAATCATAATAAATTATTAAAAATGAATGAATATTTTTTGATTTTGCATATGTTACTCCCATACACAAGAGAATACGCGTTTCGGGGCTGCATTTGTACGTCACTGAAAACTCGTTGGCACTAGGTGTTGGCACTGACGCTAACGGCTTCAATTTATGAAATCGTTTACGCCAACGCTGACGGCATAAAATTTCTCGGCCGTTTACACTGATGGCGCCACTTTTTTTCATTGACATGTACAACACTGCAAATACGTAAACATCTCAAAACATAGCAGAAAACTGACATTTTGGTAGACTCATGGTGACTCGAGAAAAAATGTATGAAGCTATCTACCTGTGTAGGCTTTCTGTACACCTTAAATTTATAGTTATGTCCATTTCTCACAATAGGCATATCAAGAAATGGAAGGGATCTACTGTATTTATCTCTCTTTCAATTTTGAAGTTAATACTAGGGACAAGATAATCAAGCTTGTCTAAAAATTACATTGGGTCACTGTTTCTAGGCCATAGACAAAGCACATCATCTACATATCTATGCCATGGAGGAATAAAGTCACCTATGTTTGGTAGTAATCTAGCCTCAAAAAAAATCATATAAATACAGGCTAATGGAGCAGAAAGACAATTATCCATGCTCATGCCAAATATTTGTTTGTAAAACTTTCCATTTGCTCTAAAAACATTGTCAGTAACACATAACTCTTATCAATTTGAGAAATGTATCATGTTCAATAGTTAAATCAAACAGAGGCAACTTATCTTTAAGGAATGAAAGTAGGGCATTCACTGGTACTCTAGTGAAAAGTGAATTTACATCAAAACTTATTAATTTACATGGTTCATTGTGTACAAGTGAAATAAGTGTACAAGTACAATATTAGAACAGCATCTGAAAGCAGTGCACTTTTCGTTCATATAAGGAACAATAATCATCCCATAGATTGGGAAAACAGTTTAGAAGTGTATAAGTCATCATGTGTCACAGAAAGACTTCTAGTTGAAGCAAGTTTGATTAGAGAAATGTATTTTTTAAACCTTAGTGATGGTCAGGACAAAACTGATAATATGTTACACAAATTTATTTGTCAGTGGCCCAAGGTTAAAAATGCTTTGAAAGCTTGTAAGGTAGATGATTAGTGGGTCTCATATTTTTTACCTGACGTGACATGACTAGTTATGTCACCCGTTCTTATAATCTCTTCTTATGTTTGCTGTGTGGTTGGTGTGTGGATTAGTGGATGTCATGTTTTTTTTTACCTTGCCTCATGTTTTGTAAGGTCACCCTGTGTACATAAGCTCTCTCTCAGTCTTTGTAATTCAGTTGCCTCTGAAAATAAAAATATTTATAATATATATATATATATATTATTTTCACTAGAACATAGGTATTGTGTCGGGAAAAAGTGGAGTTTGGGGGTCGGCCCGGTCTCTATTTCAGTTAATCCCATATGTTATGTTGTTCACTTTACGCGTTTCTCACTTTACACGGGCCTCCGTGGGTTCATTTGACCGCGTAAAGCGAGGGTTAACTGTATATATATATATATATATATATATATATATATATATATATATATATATATATATATATATATATATATATATATATATATATATATATATATATATATATATATATATATATATATATGGAGTTGGTGTGGGAAACTGTATGCAGTATGTTTAAAATAGATAAGAATGAAGAATAAATCTTACAGGACTGTCACTTATGCAGTTACGCTCATTGCTGGATTGCGTGTTTGAGCCTCAGCCGTGTTGACCAGTTGGAATATGCTCCACCAGATTTGGTATTCTTTTGTCATGATCATTTATGCATGACTAACCACCATTATTTTTTCTATGAAGGACTGAGACATGTAAAATTTTTATTTTGTGCCTGTTTTATATATATATATATATATATATATATATATATATATATATATATATATATATATATATATATATATATATATATATATATATATATATATATATATATATATATATATATATATATATATATATATATATAGTATTTTTACAACCTTTTTTTTAGGACGAATGATGCCAATAATTGTTGTAGTGATATAACATCCCAGATGGTATATACTCCTTGTAGATAATAATGTACAGTATGGATAATGCAACTCCCTGACACAGTCATGGATCTTCCCTATATTTCTCCATCTTCTATTCCATTAGTTACTTGAACCTCAATTTTTTTTAGGACGAATGATGCCAATAATTGTTGTAGTGATATAACATCCCAGATGGTATATACTCCTTGTAGATAATAATGTACAGTATGGATAATGCAACTCCCTGACACAGTCATGGATCTTCCCTATATTTCTCCATCTTCTATTCCATTAGTTACTTGAACCTCAATCCCTACCACTGTAGTGACAATAGTTTCCCCTATACTGTATTCTTGAGACTGGCTTTCTCGGTTTTTCCAAGATTCAGATATTTTTCTATGAAGGTTTGTTTTTATTTTTGTTTATTATTTTTATTTTTACTGGTATCAACCCACCTGGGCACAGGTCTATATTATATCCTAGATACTGTACTCATCTTTCCAAAGCTTACTGTAGTTAAAGTACAGGTTGACAACCCTTTATCCGAAATTCCGAAAACCGAAAAGCTCTAAAAACCGCAAGTTTTTTGTGGGGCTTTTTTTTTTTTTAAAACAGGGATTAGCCCACCCGGGCATAAATCACTGACTCACATCGGGGCCTGGGGAATATAATAATAATACTGTAATAATCCAAAATGCCTCTGGCCCCAAGGATTTCGTATAAGGGATTGTCAACCTGTACCATTTTTAACATTGGATTAATATGTACAGTATGTATTGATATGTAATTTAAAATTAATATAACAGGTAAGGATTATACATTTAAAGTGCCATTTACTCTTATTTTGATACACATTACAGTAGTCCTTTTGTCATAGTTAGAACTTTCTCAATAATCTGTACTGTACAGTATAAATAATTATCTCTGTTTACCTCATTGCCTTTTTTCTGTATTCAAAGTAGTACAATGTGTATTCAGAACATTGTATCACTTATTCAAAGCAGTATGTTGCATATTCAAAACAATATTGTATTATGTATTCAAAGTCTGACATCACATACCGTATTCAAAACAGTATCATGTATTCAAATTAGTATGTCACATATCAAAGCAGTATTATGTACTGTATTCAAAGCAGCATGTCACATAATAAGCAGTATTTCATGTATTCAAAGCTCAAAGCAGTACAGTATTATGTATTCGAAGTATTATGTCACATAATCAAAGTAGCATGTCATATATGTATTTAGCAGTACAGTATGTCATACATCCAGAGCAGTATGCTACATATTCAAATAAGAATACTGCTTGCCCTCTCCGTTCATGTAGGATATGTTCCTTGGCAAGACCATTACTGAGGAATCCATGATTGGCTTTAAAATGACAAATGCCCAATGTGTGGCAACAAGGAGATTAGACAAGAAGTGTCACCAGCCTCTTGTATCAGATGATGGATCTATGAGGAAATACAGTACTGTATATAGGTGTATGGAATCCATCTAAAATAGTGTAAAGTAATATAAACTTCATAGTACTTAACAAAACATTTGCTTACTCTGAGCACTAGTGAATTTATATACCAGTACCTGTATTTAAAAAAAAATGGCAATTTTCATAAATAAATCAGTAGCTTTTATTACAACAGTATTATATATATATATATATATATATATATATATATATATATATATATATATATATATATATATATATATATTTTTTATTTATTTTTTTATTTTTTTTTTTCATTGATTTGTTTTTTAGTATAAACATCAAAATTTTCTAGAAATTTCTAAGTCCAAGATGTTTCAAGTCAATTATCTCTTCACTTATAGTACCTATCTTTGGTAACAATGGCCATCATTCTCAAAAAAAAACTGTATTACACATATTGTTCTACACTCATAATAATCTTATTTCTGGGTTACTACTACAGTACTGTACTGTACTACCATAATGTATTATTCGCACAGTATTGTTACTGAAAATTGATCCCAATAATTCTTTTGAAACTTAATTTCAAAAAACTAAAATGCATCCACGAGGAAATGTATGTACTGTACAGTACGGTACTGTATTATTAAAATATCCATTTACTGTACATTTTAAAGTCACTCAAATAGATAAACTTAGAGAAAATACAGGGAAAAAATATGCTAGTATGTGTATAACAGTTTTTTTTTCAGAGTTCCGTTGTTGGTGAACACTGTACAGTACTTACTGTATATTAGGTAGGCCAAATTTCTTTTACAATATGTTGGTTTATGATGATTTTCACAAGAATACTTGAGACTTATCTCTTGCAGAAAGTATTGGAACAACATCCATCCTTCATATTCTCTGGGCACGAACATGACTCTTTCCATTTTGTTGGCACAAAAGAAAAGGCACATGCTCAAGAATTTCGAGTTCTCAAAGACAAAGACAGAGGAAAAATTTGGAAGTTTGAAATACTCAAAGATAAGCTACATGAAGTGACGGTTCCCACTTGCTCCTACAGGATGGGCAAGAAGCAGTATGGCTATGGAGTAGCTGTTATTGGTAAGGAAATAAGTTATGAAACTATTGCTCATTTAGCAAATTACAGTACAGTACATTAATTATTATTATTTTTTTTTGAGAATGTCTTTCCTTTAAGGTACACATACTGTTCAGGTATTTTAGTTAGTGAGTGTGTATGTGTGTCATGGTGGGGTTATAATACTTGTCATGGTGGATATCTGTGGTGGGCACGGTTCCGCTAATCCGCTAACCACTAATTAGCGAAGCTAACTTTCTCGTTAGCGGATTAGCATTTTCGCTAACTTTGGAAACCATTAGCGGACCAATTAGCTTCTGCTGAATTTAGTTCTGCTAACTTTAAGTCCGCTAACAAAATTTATACATGTTTGTTCCTGTCTGTTGTAAGCGTGTGACACCGCGACGCGTGTCTCCAACAGCCAGTCAGGCACACTTGGCTGACTGCGTGTTAGTACGTGTAAAGTTTAGAGTTTTCTGTTTATTTACATCACTAAGACCAACAATAAGTTATATCAAAATGCATTGGTATAATGTTTATGTGGTTGGTATTGCATATTTACATGAATAAGGCCGATAGGTTGTATGAGAATGCAAATTAATTATTTGTGAAATTGTGTACAGTGTACACCTTGATAAGTTGATCATCATCTGATCTTGGCATGATGCTATTTGCTACCTATGCTATACAGTACTATAGTTTTTGGATTCGTTTGATACAGTGGTCCCTCGGTTAACGAGCACAATCCGTTCCAGCAGGTTGCTCGTTAACCGAAAAACTCGTAAACCGAAACCATTGTTTCAATGGGTTTTTGGGTAATTGGTTCCAGCTCACCGAAAATTGCCTAAATTCAACAAAAAAGGTAGAAAAGTACACTTACTTTGAGGTGTGTATGTAGAAGGCTCCTGGATGATGATGATGATGATGATGATGGGAATTAGAATGGGGGTGGAGGAGAAGGAGAAGGAGAAGGAAGAAGAGAAGGCATTGGGGTGGAAGAGAAGTCACCCCATGGCACCATTTCACCCATAAAATTTTAGTTCTCTTGGTGTATATCAAGTTTATTTTCTTTAAATCAACACTGCACTGCATTATATATTGTCAATATGTAAAATGTATTTCAAAATGACCAATAATTTACTTGGAAGCACAGAAAAAAAGCATTTAGTTGAAGAGAGTCTCAAGCAAGATGTTACCTCCACTGAAAACAGAGAGAGACTAATGCCTGTCTGGTGTGTTAACAGGCTGGATGGCACGCCAGAAATTAGTTTCTTTACCTTCAGTTATGTTCAATAATTGTTAAAATGACTAAAAAAGTTAATATTAAACTTTTAAAATTATTGAATAGTATAAACTTCTTGATATTTACTAAAATAGTAAGGAATTTAAGCCCTAAAACCGATTACTGTATTGGCGGACTAATACTACAGCTGGTGGACCGCCAAATGCAACCGAAAACATGTTGAAGTCAGCTCGTAAAAAACTTGTTAATCGAGGGATTGCTTGTTAACCGAAGTTAAGAATCTTATGGAAGGTAAATCGTGAACCGAAATCTCGTTAACCGAGGCGCTCGTTAACTGAGGGACCACTGTACCTTCTGTCTTTTCGTACAGTAAATAAAGATTATAAAGTGTATGTTGAAACTTGAATGTAAACTAATGTTTAATTTCATTTGTTCATGTAATTATTTGTGTACACCTTGATCATCATCTGATGTTGGCATGCTATACCTTTTTGGAAAGCTCTATGTCTAAGCTACAAGACAACATATGAAAATTTCAGCTCTCTAGGTCTGTTTTTAAGGGTTTTAAAGCCTCCCCCCCCCAAAAAAAAAACAAAGCTAAATTCATATAATAAAAGTTAGCAGTTAGCATTAGCTTCCGCTAATATTTTTAGCTGTTTAGTGGTTTAGCGTAAGCGAAGTTGACTTTTTAGTGAGCAGATTAGCGGAGCTAACTTTTCGTTTAGCTGTGCCCACCACTGGTGGATATGTATGTGTGGATTTGCTTTGAACAAGAACATTAACTTGCACAATACTGCTCATTAATATTTTTGCTCAATACAAATGTGTTGGAGGAGCTTTTGACATGTTATACATTGCCCTCTCCAATCACGGGGATAAGTTCCTTGTCAAGACTGTGATTGAGGAATCCATAATTGTGGATCTCATTATAACATGGTGGAATCGGGATTTATTCTTGTACCATCCAAACTTTATCTCAGAAGACCTTCTGGTATGACTGAAGTATGAAGTCATATAAATGGATACGATAATGTTCTCTGAGCATTATAACCTATGTATAAATATAGAAAGTGATGATATTATTTAAGAAAGAACCCAGTAAGTTTAATACTGTGTAAGAGGAATCATCATTATCATCACCGTTTTACAGCCACTTTCCACACTTGTGTGAGTTAGCCATGATTATTTGATGGCATGTATCCCTGTTGCCATCAGGCAAATTTTAAGCAAGTTTTGTGGGTGGCTGCCCTTATTGCTAGCCCACTTTTACAGAGTGGGAACTGGGTATTATATGTAAGACTTCCAAGCACCATCATCAGTGGCAAAGCAAGATCACAATTCCCTGGGGTAATCAAAGATTACCTGCCCACTTACAAAAAGAGAAGGGGTTAGCCAAGTGACCATCAGTACCACAACAATCGTCCCTTAGAGTCCGGCTAAGACATCTTTTGTGGAAGCATTTCTTAAATTTATCAAGTCACTATTTATTTGCCTGGAAACTTAAAGGTATTACTAGCTTCCCCTTTTTCACATTGAACCTTTAGATGTTCCTACATATTTAATGTTTTTTGTGACTAAATACTGGACTAAGAGGCATCTTTCATTAGTTTCTACTGTACACTATCTTCAATTCAGATAGAGTATAGTATTCAAAACTTTTCAGTCTCAATTATTGAGTTTCAGCAGCTCACACACCGGTAATTATTCATTGCATCTAACTAAAATGAATATTCCATATGTTCCATGCACTTTGACTGACATGTTATAAAATTTTTTTGCAAGCCAATGGAATCTTTCAAATCCAGCTCCAAATTTCAACAGAACTCTCCAACAATTTCTTCAAATTTTCAAACATTTTACCCTATTTTGACTTACTAGCAAAGGAGCTAACAAATATAATGGTTAATAGCAATACCTCTAGTGGTAAGTAACCCCAAAAATCCATAATTTTAAATAATAAGTTGGAGAAGCATTGAGGCTGGTAAAAGGATGTTAGCCATCAGTAGAGTTTTAGGAATGTCTCAGTTGGCTGTGGCAATTTTTAAACAAATTACAGTTCTGTATACTGCACTGCATTTTCAATTTTTATGCATTCAAACAGTTAATTTGTTTTGGAGAAGGTCCATACAAATTTATAATGGTAATCAATGGATTAATATGATTCAATATGTGAATACTACAGTATTGTATTCAATTTATGATATGGTTTTCATAAATGCAACTGTTTCATAACTTCTGGTACACCTTTACCAGTTCTTTTGCCTTTCCAGAGAATCCTTTCCAATAATTAGTCTGGTAGAACAACATAATCTTACTTATGTACGATTACTTTGATGGTTTTTATGCTCTTTTGAACCAATTTATGTAGGGTAGGGAGAATTTTTTTTAGGTTTTTACTCAAACTATTTTATTGGTACAGCTCTTTTATATACTCTACGGTAGTAGGCAGCTACCAAATATGGAGGTACTACCGCCTGGGAAGATATTGGAAGCATAATGTGTTGTCTAATGGTAGACCCTGCTGCCATATGGCATCACGAAAATTGTGACTAAGTTCCAGGTTGCTCATCTGACTTTCTGCCTCATTTACACACAATTGCAGGGCCTCTATTGTTTCTCTTACCATTGACAACACAACATACTTACAGTGGTCCCTCGGTTAACGAACACAATTCGTTCCAGAAGGTCGTTCGTAAACCGAAAATTTCATTAACCGAATCCATTGTTTCAATGGGATATTGGGTAATTGGTTCCAGCTCACCGAAAAATACATACTGCACAAAGTAAAAATAAAATGCAGTAAAGTACACTTACTTTGAGGTGTGTATGTAGAAGGCTCCTGGTTTATGATGATGGGAATTAGAAGTGAGGGTGGAGGAGAAGGGAGAAGAGAAGGAAGTGGGGATGGAAGAGCAATCACCTCATGCTTGATGCCGTCATTTCACCACTAAAATTTAAAGTTCACTAGGTGATTTTCAAGATTATTTTCTTGAAATCAACATTGCACTGCACTATATATTGTCAATATGTTAAATAAATTTCAGAATGACCAATAATTATACTGTAAAAACGTAAAAATACTCTGTGTTCAAGAGACCCACAAGCAAGATGTTTCCTCCACTGAACAGAGACACAAACTGACGCCTTGGTGGGGTGAAGTGGCTGATGGGCGCACCAAAAACTAGTTCCCTGTACTGTAATTATGTTAAATAAGTGTTAAAACGACTAATAATTTTAATACAGTGATCCCTAGGTTAACGAACGCCTCAGTTAAAAAAATTTTGATTTACGAAATCCTTACGAAATCGTGTCAACATATTTTCGCCTGCTCACCAGCTTGAGTATTAGTCCACCAATACAATAATCGGTTTTAGGGCTTAAATTCGTTACCATTTGAGTAAATATCAAGAAGGTTGTACTAATCAATAATTTTCCAAGTCTTATATTAAATTTTTTTGGTCATTTTAACAATTATTTAACATAATTGAAGTACAGGGAACTAGTTTTTAGCACGCCAAACAGCCACTTGACTCACCCAGAATGGCGTCAGCTTGTGTGTCTGCTCAGTGGAGGTAGCATCTTGCTTGAGACTCTCTTGAACATAAACTATTTTTATGTTTTTTACAGTTCAATTATTGGTCATTCTGAAATTTATTTTACATATTGACAATATATAGTGCAGTGCAGTGTTGATTTAAAGAAAATAATCTTGAATTACACCAAGTGAACTTAAAATTTTATGAGTGAAATGGCGGCATGAAGCATGGGGTGACTTCTCTT